CCACCTCCATACCCCCACCCTCCAAACACCCCACCTCCACCAGGCTCCGTCTGTCTTCCTGTTGCTCCCTAGCTTCTCTTCTGCCCCCATCCTCTGCCCGAGTATCTTCGGGCTTGGGTCTCGCCCCCTGCTTAGACCCCGTTCCCCAGTCTTGCCATCATGGCTTGATTCTGAGAGCTCCTGCAGGTCCCCTGGGGGCACATGTACTGCTCTAGATTTGGTGTCTGTGCAGCCTTCACTCCTGTGAGTCCCCTGAGGTGGGCGTGCTGCGAGGTCTCCTCAGCTTTCCCTTGTGGATTCCTGAGGCCTTCACACGGCCCCACTCCCAGGTCTGTCTGCCATCCCTCCCGCTGTCCCCTGGGCGTACATGCTGCCCTGGACCTAGTGTCTGCTCAGTCCTCCCTCCCGCAGCTCTCCCAGGGCACCCACGCTGCCCAGACCTGGATGACCTGTATCTGGTCATGGTCCCTCCTGGAAGGATGACTTTTTGGGGTTCTGGCTCTGTCAGCTATGTCCCCTCTGCCTAACAGGGCTCATTCAGGGGTTATTCTATTTGTGGTTCATTAAAGATTCATGAAAAAAGACTATGATCTGAAGGGCTGTTGTTCTAAGGAGCAGTGGGCTTCTGCCTCATGGATAACTTGTGCACCCTTTGGGTTCTTGTTCCTCCCCACGCTCCCCCTCCACCTGCTCAGCTGCCTCCTTGGTAAACGGGGAGCTCCTTCACTCTTATAGGACATATGAAGGTGGGCCTTGACCTTGTTCTGGTGTCTAATCACGTTTCTTGTGCAGCATCTCCTCCGTCAAGGACGGCCGGCTGTCCAGGTCTCACATGAGCTCGAGGTGGTGGCAACAGAATATGAGCAGGACGTACTGGTGGTCAGTGGAGACGCGACGCAGTTTGGCAGTGTCAAGCCCATCGGTGTCCATACAGTGGTGAAAGGCCGGCTACACTTGACCCTGGCCAACATTGGTAAGAACTCTGCGTCCTTGCTGGTCCTGCACTGACAGTTCTCTGCCTGAGTGTTGGCTCTCTGAAGAGTAGCCTTATCCTGAGCATAGGCTCATCATTATGAATTCAGCTGGATTCCCATTCTTTGACTCCCAAGTGTCTGACTTTGGTTCCTGAAAATCTCACTGTAGCCACTGAGAGTCTGACCGTGGTCAGTGAGAATCTGACCTTGGGCAGTGAGATTCTGACCATGGCCTGTTAGAGTCTCACTTTGGTGTCTGAGAGTCTGATCTTGGCCACTGAGAATCTGATCTTGGTTCCTCAGAGTCTGTCTGACCTTGGTTCCTTGGTCACCAAGACCCTGACCTTGGCTTTTGAGAATTTGACCAGCATTGATTGCTGGGTGTCCCTGGCTCATTCCTGATTAGGATTTGAGACCAATAGTCAACTGTCTTGCTTAATTTTTGCTTCTTGGTGCTATTCAGGGATATCTCTGTGACAGCCCCAAACAAAGTGAATTAGGCTCGACAGAGATGCTATCGAAGTGCCAGCCCAGTGCACCCCTCACCCCGCCCCCCAGAAGTGTGCCTCTGTGTGCACTTGGAACAGGCCAGAAGGGGCGGGCATTCTCTGAGCCTGCTCTTCATCCAGATGGGAGACCCTTGCTCTCGTTACAGTGTGACTGGGCATGGAAGCAGGTAGGGTGGGCTGTGTGTGGTTCAGGAATTTGACCAAGGCTCCCATGTTGACAGGAACTGGTGCATGGAGGGTCACAAGGCCAGGTGTGCCAGCTCTGTGACCTGAGGTCACAGGGCCAGGAGGGACCCGTGGGGTCAGTAACAAGTCCCCAGGACTCCCTCGTGGGGACTCTGGGTGGGTCGAAGCATTTTTTGCTGCGTGCAACACTGGTAGCAGGACAAAACTCGGCTGCTCAAAGTTTCCAGAGCCAAATCTGGCAGGGCCTCAGATCTCGCTGTCGTTTTATTAGGGAATTTTCCATTCCTCAAAACCCAGCCTGGTTCTAAACCCTCACAAGCCTCATGGGCCCCCTCCGCTGGTGCGTTGCTCTGAGGCCCACAGTGCAGTCGCAGCCACGGAGCTGCCAGCGCACAGCTCATTAGGTCTGGTCCGGGGTGTCTGCCTGCTTGTTTACAAATGTAAAATCTGAGGCAGCTTTGAGAGTAGACAATATGGAAACAGCAAAACTCAATTAGGTCCTAGAGAAATGAATGAGCCATGTGTGAGCAGCGGACATTATTCAAAAGCACCGACGCTGACGGCAGCCTGGCATTGCAAGGGGCATTCTGCCTGTGCCACTGTGCTGGTCCTCTCACAGTGAATTCAGCAGCCCACAAATGTGCAGTGACTCCAGCTTCTCAAATCTTATCTGCAGAAGAAAGATTAGCTCCATTATATGCTATCTTAAATTGTCATTTTCATACTTTGCCTGCAAGCAAGAGATAAGCTCTGGGGGAAGAGAGCCGGCGATCCCCCACCCGAGGCTGGGCTGCAGCCCTGCCGAGGAGATTAGCCAAGGACGGACGGACACTGGGCGCCTCGCGCTCTCTGTCAGGGCAGCGCGCTTTGATTTCCTTGGCAAATTTCGTCTTGTTGGGGAGGAAACAAAGAAACGTCGCACCCTTTATTTCTTCACAAAATCGGTTGTTGTGCACCTAGCAGCAAGGGCTCACCAGCAAACTGGGTGATGACTGTGTAAGTCTCCTGGACAGCGGAGGGGGAGCAGAGGCAGGGCCGCCTGAGGTCCTGGGTGACGGTTCCTGTGCCCTTTACCAGCAGGTCACATTTGACACCAGCTGAAAGCATCTCCTGCAGACAGCTGCCCCACAGGGCTGGCCAGCCCCCCACTGCAGATCTTCACAAGTGTGGGAGTGAGGAGGAGGTTTGACCTAGTGGCTTTGAGTTTGTAAACAGCCACTTTGTAGATGTCTTTCGATTATGTCTTGTCACACCAGGATGCTGAGACCATATCATTTCATTTGCTCCCAGAATCCTGGCTGTGATACAAGATGACAGTTGGCTACGATCCTAGTTGTTGCTTAGCTCCCACAGTCCCCTGGAGGGACTGTCCTGGGGATGGAAGGGCTGCCCTGACTCCCACAGCTCCCAGGTTAGGTGACTCCATGGGTCTGGGGTTCGTGCTCTCAGGAAGCAGGCATCAGCACACCACACAGTCACAGAGAGCTGAGTGCTGAAGGATGAGGGCACATGACCAGAGGGCAAGCCAGATGCTGGCAGGTCACATCCCACTCCCGCAGAGAGATGGACCATGGCAAGGTCACCATCAGAGCTCAGCTCACGTCAAGGTCACTGCACTCCTGAAGCATGGGGGGCCCCGGTATAATCCCTGTGTCACTGGAGGATGACGGTCATAAGTATCAGCTTCTGATCTCAGACTGGGGCCAGCTGAGTGTGTCTTTCTGCCTGTGTGCACTCCTGTGGAAGCCTGTGCACACGCCTCCAGGTCAAGCCAGGCTATTCCTGTCAAGGAAAAAAATCTGTGCGTTCTATGACTGTGCTCAGATGACTTCACAGTGCAGTCCACATGCCCCTCGTCTGTCCATAACATGACTCCGTGACATGCCGTTATGCTCTCGGAAGGTCTCTGTGAACACCCTAGAGGGCTGTAGCTTCTGCAGCGCTGCCTGCTGGTACTCAGCTGTCTGGATCTGACCCTAACCTGGCAGTCGCCTCTGCCTGCACCTCAAAGGGAAGCATGCTTCCAGGCTTGTAATTGTTTGTTTTGGTTAGATGTGAATGGATTGGAAACATTCACACCACAGCCTATTGTGTGGCCGTGGCCGAGAAAGCCACAGAAGACCCCCAGGCCTCCCTTATGGAATAAACCCACTGCTGTGCGGGGGCAGGCAGGTAGCCACGGGTCAGTGACGACTTGTGCCTTCTTGGTGAGAAGCAGGACAGATGGGCCAGATCTGTCAGCCCCAAGCCGTCGTCACTCTGACATAGATTCCTGGGAGAAGGAGTAGCCCAGAAAACAAGGCGCCTGGGCTCCCTGGAGAGGAGACTGAAGGATTAGGGTCCAGGTGGAAGGCTGTGGCATCGGTCCCTGTTCAGTGCTCTTTCACCTCCTAATTTATCTGGAGCTCCCTGGCTGCTGGTGGTTTCCTGCTTGTTGTGACGTTTTCTCAGACCTGCCCGAGGGTAGAGGGGTGGACGAGTTGGCTGATGAATGGACAAGTCCGTTACCCATCACGCACCTGGTCTTGTTCTTTGATGTAGGGGATAAGCAGGTCCTGAGGGGTGGACAGTCATCCACACAGGGGGTGCGGGCACCCCAGCATGGTTTCTCTGGCTTTGAATCTTTGACGAGGGTTGACACTTTGATGAGGAACTGCCATCAGGGTCACACAGAGATGAGAAGATGTGTTTCGACCCAAATATAAAGTCTTTACACTTTACTTGGAAGGAGAAGACCGAAGACTCCAGCACAGAATATCAAAGTGGAGAAGGAAGATGGGAGCGCCACAGAGACGGGTTCCTGGTGGCCCGCGTGGAGGCAGCAGCCAGGACGAGGCCACAGACTCCTATTCTCTGAGCCCTGGTCCCAGGGCAGTGAGAGGTGGGGGAGGGGCGGAGGGATCAGGCCGAAATGGACAGGGAGGTGCCTGTGGGTAGTCCACACCCCTGCTTGTGCAGGCATCTGAGGTGGGCACGGGGGAGTGAACCCACACCTTAGTGAGTGCCTTTTGTGGGCTTCTGAAGAGATGGGATGCAAACCCAGCCACCCTAACATGTTACAAAACAGACCCTGAATTACACAGAGGACTGAGAATTTCAGAGATAACATTGGGATGTGGCTGGAACTGCACCCAGGACTAAGTCTCCCCCTGAAACTCTCAGCCTCCTTGGCACAGGCCCTGCTTCCCAAGTGGCCAAGAGCAGGTGTCTGAACTGGACGAGAGGATGAGGAGGGGGCTGCCAAGCCAAACAAGGGGTTCTCCTCTCAGAGCAGAGGGGCAGAGCTGGAACCCGAGATCTCCTAAGAAAACGCCCAGGCCACCCCTGCATCTGAAAGTGTTCAGCACTGCTCAGGTGAGAGTGGGGCTCCAACAGTGCCTGCCTCCACTCGGGACCATGCGCTTCGCTGGAATGCACCTTCTTTGGCTGTCCCCTGCCTCGCCTTGGAGGGGAGAGCAGTCCACACTGGGAAGCAGGGAGTACGGAGGCAGGCGCCCCGTGCAGGCAGAAGCCTCTCCCCAGGCTCCAGCCTGCTGAGCGAGTGAGTGGGCGCTGCTGGCAGCTCAGCCTGAGGAGAACAACCACAGACCGGTTTATCCACTGAAGAAGCATCTCGCCTCTTTAAAGCCTCTTAAGAAACAGCTCCAGCGAAGAGCATCTTGCACCATCAAGTGTATCTGGAGTTAGACGCCTGCATGAGGAAGTGCACGAAGGCCTTCCCTTGACTGTGTAGTATTCTGAGGTCTGAGTTTAGAGTCTGTGAGATCCTACATGTCATGAAGCCACTGATGGTGTCCCAGAGACCAGGAATTTGGACTTGTGTCTGCGTGAGCATCATGTGGTCTGAGCTGCTGAAAGGGCGAGAATGAACATGAGATGGACTCACCGGTTACCTCTCAGAGCCCTGCTGTCGGAGCGTGTTCCATGCCTACCAAAGGTCGGCAGTTCAGATCCCCCCACCTGCTCCACAGGAGAAAGGTGGACATTCTCCTCCTATTGGATTCACACCCTTGGAAGCCTGGTGGAGGGTTGCTGTGCATCAGACATGACTTGAGTGCAGTGGGCTTAGTTTGCTTGGTTTTGTCACCTCTCCATTACCACCTCTCACCTCTGGTGGCCTAGTGGGTAAAGAGTTGCGCTGCCAACCTAAAAACGGGGGGTTTGCATTCCTCAGCTGCTCCACAGGAGAAAGATGGACAGTCTCCTCCTATGTGATTTACAGCTTCCGAAAACCTGCTGGAGGGTCAGCCGGGAGTCGGTTCCCATTAGATGGCACATAACAACCACCACATCAAATAGCAGTTACAAACCAAATGCAGAATAGAGCGGGATCACGGGGCAGTGGTGTGGTGTGTTGGAAGGCACAGAAGAGATAGTTGGGACCTTGGCCCCCCAATGGGGAATTGCACTGGTTAATTAATGTGAGGATTAATATTTCATGCTGGGGGGGTACATTTTAGGTCACATGTGTGAGAAGGATGCAAAATATCCCAGCTCGTTGCCACCATCCAGATCTCGAGTCATCTCCAACGATGGGTCTAGTGGCTTCCCAGGAGGCAGCCTCCTCACGAGAGGGGCCATGAAACGTAAGTAGGGGGAGCTGGGTGAGAATGTAGAGTACTGGGGGGTAGCTGAGGGTGGGTGGGAAGTGGCTTGTGGGAGGGGGAGCCCATGAGGAGGTTGAATTTGCTTTAGGTCTGGTGAGCGGGGGATGCTAAGCCCCCATCCCTGCACCCTGCCTCGGTGGTCCTGCCAGCCTCCTGACCACATGCCTTCGCCCCACTGCTCCCCTCCTGGGATTTCTGGAAACGTGGCCACGTGCCTGCCTAGCTGAGCGGTCCTCTTCCGACTGGCATTTGTGTTTGCTTAGCTGCTCCTCTGCTGAGGAAGAGGAAATGAAGAAAAGGTCAGGAAGAACGTAGACTGATTCTGAAAAACTAATTTGAGATGCTGTGTGTTGGGAGGAAGGAGGACTGAGCCAATTATTAAGCCCAGGAAGTGCAGCACTTGGTTTGGTGAACGCATTCTGCGCAGCAGGCCTTCTCCGTCCCCTTAAATGACCCCCGCCTCCCGGGCCTTGAATATGAAATACTTGTCATTTGAATGGAAAGTGGGAAGTGCCCTTTAAGTAGCATTTCCCCAAATGTTGCAGATCATCTTGTATGAACCCAAAGCTGCTGGAAGGGGAGGGAGCTTTCTCTTGTGACTGGCCCATCAGCTTTGCTGACTTTCACTTGGAGTCTGGGAGAGCCAGATTAGGGATCCTTAGACCTGGACTGGCCTTGGGGACTGTCCTGTTGTGGCAGTGACAAGGTGTGTGGGTCGTTGGAAGGATCTTATGAGGCCCCTGATGCCCAGGCAGAACACTGAGGGTCCTTGCACATTCTTCCTGGGACAGGGGTGTCTATCCATCCAGCTTCTCCAAGGGATTGACAGTCTGTTCAGACACAACACCTTCCCGTTAAACACTGAAGACACTGAGGCAGGGAGTAGTTAGCTGAATTGCTCACTTACATAGCTGCAGGCGATAAACTTGGACCAGACCTTGGATTTCTTGCTTTGGCATCAAGGTATCTCCATCTCATCTGTTCAGAACAAGCTCGCTGACTGCTGAGAGAACAAAGTGTGGTTTCCATGGAGTGGAGGGGGTTGAGGTGTTCCAGCAAAAAAAAAGTGGCTGGGTTTATTTGTGAAAGCCACAGATGGGGGACCCAGAAGACAGGGTAGCAGCACTGGGGGCTGGAGCCATGAACATGTGCTTAGCCCTCCTTTGGTCAAAGCCAGGGAACAGGAGGTGCTCCAGTAGAAATTGTGAGCCTGCACCCACTGGTAGAGGCTCTGCAGTTACAAGTGCATGGAATTGAAGGAACTGCTCAGGGCGTCCACAGTAGGTGCAGATCCACTCCGCCATCCCAGGATTTTGTTTCTTATTCTGTGGATCTAAGAAAGATTCAGGGTGACCACAGGCTGGGGCAGCTCAGGCTGTGTCCCAGAGATGGGCAGAATGCTCATTTGTTTTTTAATTAAGAGTTGGGTGAAAGTTTACCAGTAAATCAATTTCTATTCAACATTGATACACATTTTATTTCTTGCCATTGATTGCAGTTCTTACAGTGTACCAGCGCTCTGTCCACTCTTTGCTCTTCCTCCCTGCTTTCTTCTCTCCACTCATCCTGCATCCTGTCCTTGGTTGCTTGTGACCTTGCTCCCTGGGTGAATGCTGCCCTTCTGATCGTGCGTGTTTGATTGCTCTAAGGAGTCTGGGCTTCCCTGGTGTTGCCGTCCATCTTCTTGTTCAGCTTCAAGTGGAGCCACACAGATGAATTCAGGTCCAGGCTTCAGGGGTGACTAAGAGCCATAGTCTTGGAGAGCCCCCCACTATCACATCAGGAAGCCTGGTCTATTGGATGACAAAAATGTTCATGTGGGTTGGCCATTTAAGATCCCTCGACCAACTCGTGGCATTTGAAAAGCCGTTAAAGGACTTGAAAATGGAGTGGCGGCGGGGAACCTGGAAACAGCACTTGTTGAAAAGTAACTGAGGAAGAGGTGGGTGAGCAAGGGGAGAAAGATGGCATCACTGCAGGTGGGGCATCAGCCGGCAGCCCGGGGTGTCGGTGCTGGAATGTAGGAGCCAGAGCCGGATCCTGGCTGGCGTTTGATATCTGAGGACCAGGAAGGATTCCAGACCTAGGTTATTATGCTGTTCTTACCCACCCTGCTTGCACGGGGTTGAATGATTGCCATGAGACCTGATGTGTCACCTGTGACAGGTGGGTGACAGGTGGGTGTGTGGCCTCATCCAGAGCACAGCACATTAGCCTTGCCAGTCCCACACTGGATCGCACAGGAGAAAACACAACAGCGTCCTGGGGCTCTTAACCTCCTTGGATCTGCTAAAGGCTTTCAGTATGATCAGGGGTCAGAGGAGCTGCCCTGACAGAGACCAGAGTTGAGGGCTGTAGGCACAGAGGCTGAGGTGAGCCCCAGGGCCTGGCTTGCTTCTGTGCAGCCTGAGGAGGACCTGGAGCTCAGTCTCTAGGAGCCCCTGATTCCGGACCAGGGTGCTCGCCATGCAGGATGTCTGAGAGCGTGAATGAGGTCCTGGGGTGCACTGTGGGTGTGGGTGCCCCTGATGTCCGTTTTGTCTCTGGCAGAGCCAGGTGTGTTGGTGGGGAGTGTGTAGCACTGGGTAGGGGGTTGAGGCAAGTCCTGTGAGATTCCTGAGTGTGACATCCTGGAGTCCTGACCCACTGCCGTCTAGTCGGTTCTCACAGTGACCCTTCTTCATGTTTCTGCCTTTTTCCCGTGGAATACCTGGCAGGTTGTTAGCAGCTGGACATTTAACACACTGTACCATGAGGGCTCCTTACAAAGAGATCCAGTGGTGTATTAATGAGTGTGAGTCTGTTTCCAGACCAGAGGGTTCTTAAGATGGGTACAAGGAGTGGGCTGTGGAGCTGAGGTTTATATGAGAGACTAACAAGAGGTTTATGGGACAGCCACACTTGTGGCTGTGGAGGCGAGGGTGGCCACTTACCTCTCCCAGCAGCCGGGGAACAGCCCAGATTTGACCTGCACAAGGCCCGAGGGTCACTGGGACTCTCTCCCGGGGTGCAGTGAACTTGCAGGCGCGTGGGTTGATAAGCAAGCAGCCCTCTACATACCAGCTTCTGACTCTGCCCCCTTCAGCAGGGAAGCGTGTGGTCCAGGCACAGAAGCTGGCCGACATTGACAGTGAGCTAGCCGCCATGCTGCTTACCCACATGCAGTCGGTAAGCCGGAACCCCAAGGGCACTGACCTTGAGGCCGATGCTGTGCGCAGGCGCAAGCTGGAGAGGATGCGGTCGGTGCGCCTGCGGGAGGCTGAAGGCGAGGCCAGCGGCCGCAGGAGCAGCGTGCTGGTGAGCCTTGTGGTGCTGGGGCGACTGTAGCCTGGGCTGGGGACAGAGCACACCCTGCTGTGGGGTGGACTACACCGATGGCAGAGAGAGAACCCCATGTGCAAGGAAGTGAGCAGGCTTGAAGGGGCCGTTGGATCAGTGAAACCTCCCCGGAGTTGGAGATGGGTCAGCTCTTCCCAAGTCACAAGGTGGAAAATGAGGGGGTTGGTTCTCAGAGCCCCAGGACCCTGGTCTGCCCCTTCGCCTGCCCCTGTCCCACAGGCTCAGCAGAGTATCCGTGCCCAACACTTGAGGGACCTGCGGGTCATTGAGGCCTACCGCGAGCGCACAAAGGCGGAGGGCATCGCAGAGCTGCTGAGCCTGGCCATCACCACCCACCACACGCTCTACGCCACGCTGGGCACCGCTGAGTTCTTCGAGTTCGCCCTTAAAAACCCCCATAACACGCAGCACACGGTGACCGTGGAGATTGACAATCCAGAACTCAGGTGGGCTTGCAGGCTGCTCCCTTTATCCGGTTGGAAGCAGCCAGTGTTGTGGGCTCATCATGAACTTCTGGCAGAGCAGTTTCTAGTGCCTCGTGGATCAGCCTGATTTAGGCCGTCTTCCCCTGCTCTAGACCCTGGTGGTGCAAAAGGCTCTGCTTGCCCTCTCTCCAAAAAGTTAGCTGGTGGTTCACGAAATCAGCCACTGAAAAAACCCCTTAGGAGCATAGTTAAGCTGTGACACCCAAAGGTGGCTGTGAGTCAGACTTGACCTTGATGGCACCTGGTTGCCTCTCTCAGAGTCCAGCCCAGGCGTGTGGGGCATCGTCTCCCTGCACCGGAGCAGGTCTGGCTTGGCCTCACTCACTGTCTGTCCCTCCAGCCTCATCCTGGACAGCAGGGAGTGGCGGCACTTCAAAGACTCAGCTGGTCTGGTCACACCAGTTGAGGAGGACATGTTCCACCTGCGAGGTGGTGGCCTGGCCCCCCAGCTGTACCTGCGCCCCAAGGAGACTGCTCATATCCCCTTCAAGTACCAGACTTTCTCTGTTGGTCAGATGGCAGTGACACAGGTGAGGGTGTTCTTCTCCTCCAAACAATGGGGCTTGTCCCCACATGTCCTGGGACAGGGTTCACCTGGCCGAGGGAGGGTGGGCGCCTGAGCCTCTCTGTACTATGTGTATGTTTCCTACTGTGGTCGCCCCAGCCATTGTTGCTTCCAGTTGTCGAATGAGGGCTTCTTGGCTGCTGCTCTGTGCTCACAGCCCAGAGTGGGTACCAGGGCAGTCCAGCCGGCTCCCTTAGTCAGCTGCACAACCGATCAAAGAGCCTTTTCTTACCTCTTGGAAGAGCTCATGGGCTGGAATTTTCTAGTATTTTGTACAGTCTCCAGTTAATGCTGTTTCTCCTCCACATGAAATGCAAGGCTCTGAGATTTTGCATAAAGATTGTGCATATTTGTGTGTCTGCGTGTGTGATAGAGGGAGGTTTTGGGGGGACCCAGAGTTCAGGGCTGCCCAGGACAGCACCCTCACTCTGGCTGCCATGATGTTAAGGAGAAGCACTCGTCACCAGCAGTGCCGCTTTGACCTGCTCATGCGGGTTGGTTTCTTCCAGGTCAGTGCTGAACTGAGGCCCAAGCAGGATGCCGACACCAAAGCTCCCTGGGAGGCCAGCGCAGCGCCCACTAGACGTGCCAAGGTAGGTCAGTGGAGGGCATCGTATCATGAGTCCAGATGATCTGTGGCCTTGGAGACTTGTGAGTGGGATGAGAGAAGTCGACCATAATGCTCTCTCCTCTGTCCTGTGCCCTTGTCTGCCTGGCCCCTTGTCCTCTGCCCCTACTAGAGGAGGCCCCGCCAGGGGCAGAGACTACCGGGAAGTAGATTTCTCTTTTCCTCATAGTTGTAGTGGTGGCAAACCAGACACTGTGACGGCCTCTTGCGTGAGTTGGTTGGTGTGGAGCATCTCCTGACACTGGCCTCTCAGCCCTTTGATACTCTGCTGCTGGGGCATCATGGTCCTGGGGGCTGCAGGTGCCCAGCTTTGGAAGCAGGCAGTCTTGTCAGAGCATGTGGCCCCTTTGGGCCTGCTCCACAGCCTTGTGCCACAGTGGCACAGATTTGGCATGACCACTTCCCAGAAATTACTTTGGGAAACAAATGTCTTTTAAGTAGCTTGAAAGTTATGAAACAAAAACCCCTCCACAGCTCTCACCATTTGGGGGACATTACCTGCACCCATACTTGACAGGTTCTGCTTTCATGCTTGACCCTGATCACAGCCCCACTAAGTCTAGTACCAGTGAAGACTCACTTTCTTTCATTTGAAAGAGGTGCAGTGTATGAGTGACCTTGTCTAAAGAATGTCTGCTCTTTATTTACTGGTATAACTTGAGAAATGAGTGGGTGTTTTTATTCCCCTCTATAAATCTGAGATTACAAGGCAAAACCCAGCACTCTAACCAGCTGACTTATGGGTCAGCATGGGTCTTTATCTTGTAAGGACATCTTTTAATCTCTGAACTACCATCACTGCCCTAAGCCACCATTCCTTGTCTCAGCTAGTACTTGCTCCACGTTCCCGTTCCCTGCTGACCTTTCTGCAGTTGCTGTGTCCTGCTCAGTGTGTCCTTTTGACTCTGTCCCTGGATCCTCTATGTGGACTGGCCACAGAATCACCTGCAGAGACCTGGATGCGTCCATTACATCTTCTCCACCTGATGGTCCGTTGTCCACACCCGCTGTTCCCTCAGCCGTTGGGTCTGGAATGTCCTCTTCCACAGTTCCTGCTCTTTCCTTGCTGCAGCTCTTCTATAACTAAGAGCTTTCCCCCCTCAGCCTTTCCTGAAATGGACTTGGTGTGGGCAAGTCAGGCTGGGTGTCTGGTCCTTTTGTTAATGTGTCCATTTCACACTAATGAGTTCTGCTGTAGCAACCATCGGTGATGATTGATTTGTTTGAGTCAGGTCATGAGCTTACCTTTTAGACTCAGTGTGCATCTCAGGCCAAGGCAGTTCTTTTCCTTCAGCGCTAAGACCTCCGTCTATCTGGACATTGAGGTTCTTGTCTTTAAACTTTGAGAAAAGTTGTAAGAATAGTACAAAGATTTCTCAGCTGTCGTTTCCACGGAGTCCTAGTTAGTTACTTATTACTACATTTGTCTTTACCACTCTCTCTCTCTTCCTCTCCCAGCCTGCCTCTCCCCCAGGGTAGGCCTTTTTTCTGGAACATTTTGAGGATGAGTTCTTGATATCGTGCCCCATTTCCCCATGAATTGTAATGCTTCATGTCCTCAAAATAGGACACTCTCACACACAGCCGCTGTGGAACCCTCTAAACAAGAACCCACTCTGATGTAATCTGACTTCTAGGCCTGTCGTGTTCTTCCAGGCACCCACTGCACAGCACCATTACAGGTCTGGAGTGCAGCCCCGACTCACACTGTAGAATGGGATTGTGCCTCATAATTCCTTTCTGTCTGGCACACCCCCACGTCCAATCATCTTGTCCTTCATGGCCTTGACGGTTTTGGAGCACAGGTCAGTTATTTCGTCAAAGGAATGACATTCAGTTTGTGTTTGTCTGATATTTCCTCGGGATTACAGGTTATTAGATATTTTAGACAGCAGGAAACCCATGGAAATTCAGCTGTGTTGTTTCCAGAACATCTCATCAAGAGGGAACCATGTGGATTTGGCCAACTATAGTGATGTTTACATTGTCATTGGTTAAGATGGTGTCTAAGAAGCATTCTTAACTAAGAAGTTTTCTGTACCTAAAAAGTTTTCTTATGCATCTGAGAGCTGGACAATGACTAAGAATGACAGAAGAACAAGTGATGACTTTGAGTGTGTTGGCAATGAAGTAATAAATATTCCATTGTTGTGGTTGATTGCCTTGAGTTGAGCAGGACTCATAGTGGCCCTGTGAACAAAAGGTCGGAAGCCCCTTTACAACTATTGACATTTATCAAAATTCATAGAGTTTGTTGTTGCTGTTA